ACGAGAGCTCCGGTCCACCGAACCGACAAGGGTCGGTCAGTCGCCGGTAGTCACTGTATCGGATGCAGTTCGCAGAGCTTGAGATATTGGCTTTTGAGACAATATCTGCACGATGCAGCTTCAACTTGTCCTGGTCCGCTGTACCTAGTCTTGATGGGAGACGTGTACGAGGACCGAGCACAATCTCGAAGCTCTGCTGGGACGATGCTGATGAGCTTCTCGAGAAACGGGGCCAGGGAACAACCTCCGGTGCGGGGATCTCCCCGGGCCGACCAGACAGGCTGCAAGCAGCTGTCTCGGTCATTCTCCAGTAGTACGTTCACTGTTTGGGCCCCGACTGCAGCATTTGCACAAACTTAAGCTCTCAAACACATCCCCTTCCCTGCACACAAGAACCTTGCCGTCTGAGATAAAACTTGCAGTCAAGTTGGCGGAAACACACGCAACATACATAAACGCCAGCAAACATGCCAGCCAGCACACTTTTTGATGATCGGTCCTTCCTTGGTCCTTGATCTGGAACAGGTCGCGACTCACGTTGCAACCATTTGGGTGTCAGCATTTTAGGATGGACCAACACAGTGCCCTGCAAGCCAAAGCTCAACATTACAGAAGCGTTCCTTTGTGGTGCACAGGGCTTAGGAATCCATCCTGGCGCCCTGCTTCAAACATATGGGAGGGTGTCTCAAAACTGTCATGTCGAGTGATATCCTTGCAACTAAACGCACTAAGGAGTGTCAACAACCCAAACATGCTTTTGAGATCCCCCGCCTTGTGGGTACAACAAACCTGCAAACTGGTTGCCAGATTCACAGGGTTTGGAGCAACAATACTAGCAACAATAGTAATTAATAAATAATAAGAATGGTAGTAGTACTAGCAATAATTATAATAAAAGCGAAAATAATCATAGCAACAATATTAGGGTTGCTGCATGGGCAGAAAGCACTTCCAACAGCAGTCCGGACAGGCACAGGGCTGAGAGTCTGTTGGTCGCGGCGCTGCCGGCACAACAGTTCCTGCAAAGCTTGCAGCCTTTGGCTAGAACGACATGGCATCCCTTCGCGAGCCTATGGCTGGTTGGATCCAGTGGACGAGCACGAGCGAGAAGCTGCACCAAAGGC